GTGGAAGGATCATTAGGCGCGAGTGATCATGCTCTTCTGAAGTTTACTATACAGCGGAAAGGAGCAGCCAAGCATACTAGGACTCAATTTCTCGACTTTAAGAAAGCCGACTTCATAAAGCTTAGGGAAGTGCTGGGTGAGATCCCATGGACAGTAATACTAAAAGGAAAGGGAGTTCAAGATGGCTGGGAGTTTGTTAAGAGGGAGATAGTAAAAGCACAACTTCAGGCAATACCAATGAGACGGAAACATGGAAGGTGCCTAAAGAAGCCAGGGTGGATATCTAAAGAACTTTTAACTGAGTTAAGATTAAAAAAGGATGTGTACAAAAAATGGAAAAGGGGGGAAACCACCAAAGAGGAATTCAAACAAATAGCCAGCACGTGTAGACACAAAGTCAGAAAAGCTAAAGCACAAAATGAACTCAGGCTTGCTAGAGAGGTTAAAAGCAACAAAAAAGGCTTTTATGGGTATGTTCGTAGCAAAAGGAAGAACAAAGAAACCGTGGGGTCACTCAGAGGAGAAGATGGTGAAATGCAAACAGGGGACACAGAAAGGGCTGAACTCCTCAATGCCTTCTTTGCCTCAGTCTTCTCCGATAAAGAAAACAATGCCCGACCTGAAGAATTTGGAGCAAATGATTCAGCAGAGGAAACACAGCCCAGAATAACTAAGGAGATAGTACAAGAATACTTGGCTAGTCTAGATGTATTCAAGTCTCCAGGGCCAGATGAACTGCATCCAAGAGTATTAAAAGAACTGGCAGATGTGATTTCAGAACCACTGGCAGTCATCTTTGAGAATTCCTGGAGAACAGGCGAAGTCCCGGCAGACTGGAGGAGGGCAAATGTTGTCCCTATTTTCAAAAAGGGGGAAAGAGAGGACCCAAATAATTACCGCCCAGTCAGTCTGACATCAATACCAGGGAAGATTCTGGAGCAGATCATTAAGCAAACAGTCTGTGAGCACCTAGAAAGGAATGCTGTGATCACCAATAGTCAGCATGGATTTCTGAAAAATAAGTCATGTCAGACTAACCTGATCTCGTTTTTTGACAGAATTACAAGCCTGGTAGATGAAGGGAACGCAGTGGATGTAGTCTACCTTGATTTCAGCAAGGCATTTGACAAGGTGCCCCATGATATTCTTGTAAAGAAGCTGGTAAAATGCGGTCTTGACTATGCTACCACTCAGTGGATTTGTAACTGGCTGACTGACCGAACCCAAAGGGTGCTCATCAATGGTTCCTCTTCATCCTGGAGAAGAGTGACTAGTGGGGTGCCACAGGGTTCTGTCCTGGGCCCAGTCTTATTCAACATCTTTATCAACGACTTGGATGATGGACTCAAGGGCATCCTGATCAAATTTGCAGATGACACCAAACTGGGAGGGGTGGCTAACACCCCAGAGGACAGGATCACACTTCAAAACGACCTTGACAGATTAGAGAACTGGGCCAAAACAAACAAGATGAATTTTAACAGGGAGAAATGTAAAGTATTGCACTTGGGCAAAAAAAATGAGAGGCACAAATACAAGATGGGTGACACCTGGCTTGAGAGCAGTACATGTGAAAAGGATCTAGGAGTCTTGGTTGACCACAAACTTGACATGAGCCAACAGTGTGACGCGGCAGCTAAAAAAGCCAATGCAATTCTGGGCCTCATCAATAGGAGTATAGCATCTAGATCAAGGGAAGTAATAGTGCCACTGTATTCTGCTCTGGTCAGACCTCACCTGGAGTACTGTGTCCAGTTCTGGGCACCACAGTTCAAGAAGGACACTGACAAACTGGAACGTGTCCAGAGGAGGGCAACCAAAATGGTCAAAGGCCTGGAAACGATGCCTTATGAGGAACGGCTAAGGGAGCTGGGCATGTTTAGCCTGGAGAAGAGGAGGTTAAGGGGTGATATGATAGCCATGTTCAAATATATAAAAGGATGTCACATAGAGGAGGGAGAAAGGCTGTTTTCTGCTGCTCCAGAGAAGCGGACACGGAGCAATGGATCCAAACTACAAGAAAGAAGATTCCACCTAAACATTAGGAAGAACTTCCTGACAGTAAGAGCTGTTCGACAGTGGAATTTGCTGCCAAGGAGTGTGGTGGAGTCTCCTTCTTTGGAGGTCTTTAAGCAGAGGCTTGACAACCATATGTCAGGAGTGCTCTGATGGTGTTTCCCGCTTGGCAGGGGGTTGGACTCGATGGCCCTTGTGGTCTCTTCCAACTCTATGATTCTATGATTCTATGATTCTAAGTTGCTTCTTGTGTATTCAGAAGGATATGTGGGCTGCTGAGCACCACTGCCTTTGCCCTTGGCTTTTCCTTCCTTCCTTCCTTCCTTCCTTCCTTCCTTCCTTCCTTCCTTCCTTCCTCTCTTCCTGTCTTCCTCTCTCTTGCTCTCAAGCGTGCCACAGAAGCTATTTTTGATCCTCTCTTGCACTTTCATCAGCAGCTGCACGTTTCGAAAAGCATTGGGTACCCTCCAAATGTACTTTTCATCTCACTTCAGAGATGCTTAAAGGATTACTTTTTCACCGTTTCTATTCAGCGAGCCACCTGCCTTCCAATCGAGCCTCTTCAGCAAGCAGGCATTGACAGTTCCTGAAAGTATGACTCGTGCTTCCTCTAGTCTGTTAAGCTTCCTTCCCTTGCTTTTCCGTTACCTTCCCCGTATTTCCTTCCTTCAACTTTGTTCTGACTTTTGTTTTATTGAGCTATGCACTAATCAACATACACTTCTCCTCAAGAGGTCCTCTTTACTGGTTGCCGATTGCTCCTGTGTCTAACTGTAACAGAAGACGCTTTCACTGTTCATGCTCTTGCATTACACATCACCATGGCAGTGGGGTTGGACTGGAGGAGACTTGAAGGAAAGGTCTGTAAAGGACCCTGGCGGTATAAAGCCAAGGTAAAATAAAGTGGCCAAGAATGAACAATTTGGGTCACAGGGAAGGGCTTAAGTTTCCACTGTCACATCAAACTACTATCTACTTCCTGGCAGAACTGCTAGTTCTGCTTTTGTCTCCCTTAGGGTGGACAAAAGCGTGACATAGTTTTCGGAAGCGCAGTACTTGTCCAGGTGTTGGCATGTTTGGGGGATCTTTTCCGTGGTGTTATAGAGCTCTTTATGCATCCTGATCCCTCATGTGATGAAGAACTGCACCCTGTCACATTGCCCTGAAGTGAAGAGTCATTTCTCCTTGCCCAGACTCCCTGTGCAACTTGGAAGCCTGAGCTTTCAGGAGTTCCAAATTTCACAGGGGACCCTACCTGTTTGCTCCCTTTTGCAGACGTTTGCCTCCAGTATATGAATGGAGACGAGGACTGCCAGGTGAGGCAGAGCTAGCTTGTTGGTCCGCACTCTGGCTTCCACAGATCTAATGTTGCGGGGGTATCAGAACACACAAATAAGGCTCAAATTAAGGAGCAAAGTAAACTGAAGGTGCTAAATGAGATTTTTCCAGCCTTGCTCACAATGTGTATTTGCAGTTTTATAGTGATTTTTATTTAAAAAAGATTGTGTAAAATTTATATCTGCAAATTCTAAATACAGTTCTTCAATAAATCAACTTAATAGCTAAACCTGTGCACTAATAACTCATTAAATACAGCAATTCTTGTAAATCTTCTTTAAATATACTAATTAATTACTTGAAAAGAATAACAGAAATCCAATTCTTTTCAAAAGCACATTTTAATTTTAATTGGGCTATTTAAGCAGACTGTAACTTTCAGTCTAGCCCCTTTGCTCTGTAGTTGATGCTTCCTAATTTTGTTTATTTGTTAGCTCTTTTCTGAACCACCTGCATAGTTTAATTAAAAAAACAAAAATGAGATCCAACACAATCTCATGTCCTGTCATTCTTATTAAGGTCTCCCCCCCCCCTTTTTCTTTGAAAATTGCCATGTCCACCACATATGGCAATTTCTGTTCTTTTTTCTGACTGCTTCCTAATTCTGTTTAGCATACTTGGGTTGTCTTCTCTTTTTTAAAATACTAATAATAATACCAGTTACAATTAGCCTGCAACAGTGCAGTTTTTCACTGTGCTGAAAAAATAAGACTGTTCAAACTGGCTAGGGGTGAGGTTATACACTACATAATAAGTATTTGCATGGTGTTGCCTTTCACAACCTGGTGCTCTCTAGAAGGTTTGGATCACAGCTCCCAGTTGTGCTGGCTCAGTCTGATGGCCCCTCCAGATGGTGAAGGCTGGAATAATGCCTCGGGTGTTGGAAACACTTTACAAACAATTTATCAGTAACCCTGCAAGGAAGGCTAGCATTGCTGCCATATTGCAGATGGGGCCATGACCCTGAGCTTAGTGACATTTTGAGGACACCTGTGCCTGGGATGAGAAACTGTCTTGTATTGCTAGCCACTGCTCTCCCACCGGATCTTAAAGGAAAAGTAGCTTATTTCCCTTTCTCAAATTTTCCCATAACCTCTTGCCTTCCTGGCAGCACAGTAGACATCTGGTTCATAGCTGTCAACTTTTCCCTTTTCTTGCGAGGAATCCTATTCGGAATAAGGGAATTTCCCTTTAAAAAAGGGAAACGTTGACAGCTATGATCTGGTTTGCAATCTGGATGCAAATACACATGCAGAATTGGGGGCACATTCTGGACTGGAGGAATAAGGAGTGGCTCAACAAATTGGGGCGGAAGTCAAAATTTGAACCATGTCAAGTGTAGCTAGGGCGAAATCGGCATCTTTAACACAGATCAGTAAGCAGGAGAGCCTTGAGTTCTTCTGCATTGCACCGATGAGCAAGTGTGTGGTTGCCTCTGGTCCAATCAAACAGCAAGTATTTAATGGCCAGGAAAGAAGCCATAGTCCCTGGTATGTCTCTGCAGTCTCCCTCAGGAAACTTACTTTGCTGCATGCAAAAAACGGGTTCTGAACAGTTTGTGTTGCTGGAGTGCTTTGAATGATGGAACTTTTTCAGTTTTCTGTGGTGTAACTTGTTTCTTTCTTGTGTCTCCTTTGCTGTTGCAGCTGCACTTCGAGATCATAATGCAGCAGAAAAATGAAAGAGCATAGGAGAAAAATACAGCGGAGAAGTCGGTTGCTGGCCGGTTATCGAAAATGGACGGTGGGATTTTGGGGGCTAAAGCAGTACTGCTTCCAAAGGAACCGTCTTTCTCTACTTAAAGGAGGGAGGCGAGGCACTTGGACACCTGTGAGCCTGAAACAAACGAAGCCCTGCAGAAGCAAGAGTCTTTGGCTCCAGAGGAAGTGGGCTCCTGAAGTGTTCCTAAATGCAAAGCCCCAGCAAGTTGTACCTTTTGAAAACTGCACCTTTCCACAAAACATACACAGAGGCTTCTTTCCTTGGTGCAAAAGTGGAGGACCTGTTACAGTGGCAGAGGAGCTGGGTGGCACATCCTTTCAGAGCGAAGAACTTCTGAATAAATTTTGCAGTTTAACGGTTGACTCAAAGCCTTCTCAAAGCAAGCAGCACAGCACCGAGACCAGCAATACTGCCTTCCTGGTAAAAGAGGATGGTCTTGCTCGGAAGGTGGGCGAGAGCAATAACAGTGGCGTTGAGGTTCTGAACAACTCCAGAAGGAAGTGCTGCTGCCAAGGCCTGGAGCAAAATGGAACTTGTGACCTCCTGACTATTAGGAGGAGGCCTAGATTTAAAAGGTGTACTTTAAAAAACAGATCTCTATTTATGATGTATAAGAAACTTTCTGCAGTCAAGTTTTGGATTAGAATCGCAAAATCTCGTCCCAGGTTTTGGAGAGGCAAGACGTGCAAGTTGAGCATAAGGAGGCCGAGCTGGGTGGAGAAAGTAAGCAGAGATTGGCAAGAGGACCTCCGCCGAGGAGTCTCTGCGGCCTCGCTTCCCTCTTGGAAACTGAAAAGTAAATCTCCCTGGAACCTGTTCAGCTTGTCAGATATGAACAGTCATATGCCAGGACCATTGATTGAGGAGAGTCAAACACACCTGCCTGACGCCTGCCTCACCCAGGGCGCACGCTTGCCATGCAGGGAGCTCCATTACAAGGAACTTGCGCCCAGAGACCAAAATGGCATCGCTGAGCCCTGCGTGCCGGAGTTGCATGGAGCAGAAGCGGCATGTGGAGCACAGCCTACTCACAAGGAGGAAGCGCGGAAGGCACCCGCACTGGACAGCTGCCCTGATAGTTTCGTCTCTGTGACGGAGAAAGAAAGCTCGGTTTTAGGTCCAGGAGATGGAGGAACGAATCAGTTTACGGGTGCCGGCGAGACAGTGCTGGGGCCCTCCAGGGCGGATTTGGGCACAAACGACGGCTTTGCTAATGGGCCTGCTTCCGTGGAGCTGGCGCAAAATGAGGACAGTGGTCGGATGGAGGTGGAAGGGCCCATAAGCATGGACGTATTTGGCGCAGAGCTCTTAGATCACCCGTACTGTAAAAGCCCTCATGATGAGCCTCTGAGAGGAAGCACAGGACAGAAATCAGGGACCCAAAAGAGTGGGAAAAGAAGCAGCCAGAGAGCTTCTTGCGTCAGTGACGAGCAGTTGGCTGTGTGGCTTTGTGGTATATAGCAACACTCTCTTAATGCTTATTGCTGGTTTTGTTTATTTATGCTATGAATCTGGGTGCTGTCCCTGTAGATTATAATGACATTTTATGCACTATTGTACTTCTTGCTATGAAGGGACGTGGGTGGCGCTGTGGGTAAAAGCCTCAGCGCCTAGGGCTTGCCGATCGAAAGGTCGGCGGTTCGAATCCCCGCGGCGGGGGGTGCGCTCCCGTTGCTCGGTCCCAGCGCCTGCCAACCTAGTAGTTCGAAAGCACCCCCGGGTGCAAGTAGATAAATAGGGACCGCTTACTAGCGGGAAGGTAAGCGTCGTCACGCTGGCCACGTGACCCGGAAGTGTCTGCGGACAGCGCTGGCCCCCAGCCTCTAGAGTGAGATGGGCGCACAACCCCAGAGTCTGTCAAGACTGGCCCGTACGGGCAGGGGTACCTTTACTTTTACTTCTTGCTATATTTATTGTGGGTTTAAGATTAGGATGTTGCACAGACAGCAGTTCAGCTGGCCTGTCCTTGTCATTCTTGTGATCCTCCAAGCCAGGTACTGTGGCTTTTGCAGGAATGCAGCTAAGCCCTGGCTTTTGCTTGCCAGCCTGGGATTGCAAGAGCCGCAGTCTTAGTACCTGATGGACCTTAGTAATGGCTGCTGGGCTGTTTTAAGCTTGATGGGTTCCAGATCGTACAGGCCTGCCCTTTGATAGCGCAGTTGCATGATAAACCAGTGGGTTGCAATCACAGTGCATTGGTGGTGGTGTTTCATTTGATGGGCTTGTTATGGGACGAAATTGAGACTGGCGCAATTGGGGGTTGGAGCCAAAATCAAGAGGCAGTTTAACTCTTCAGAACACTTTGTCTGTTTATTGTGGCCCCAGATACTTAGGAGAACCCAGACTGGAGGCTTAATCTCAATACATGCTAGAGTTGCCCGTCTTCCATATTGAAATAAGAATCTGAGTGCTTAATGAGATGGGTAATAAAAGGAGTGAAGCTACTTGCTGACTGTGAGCTCAGTAGATCCGTATCCCCTGTACTCACCTCTTGGCAGCCCAGTGTAGATTGGGCTGTTGGTGTGTCCTAAGTGGCGTCCATCTGGCACAGGCCAATTCCATTCTGGAATGCAGGGGTGATTGAGTCCTTGGCTTGTAGCAATTCCTGCTAGAAATGTTCCATGGTGTCGGTGGTTACTTGGCGTGTACAATGGGTTTAAAAATATTTCTCCTTGTCACAATGTAAGTAGAGGGTGCCCACAATTTTGAAACAGATCTGGTGTGCATTCCCATGACTCTATTCTCTGAACATCTCATTGATTTGGGTTGATTGCAGTCAGGGCCAGTATAGCTCCTGTCCTGCATTCAGACCCCGGAAGGTTCATTTTTGCGCTTCTGTAGGCTTCTTCCCCTCCCTGCAATTATCCCCCAACTGGTCTTTCAAAATTTAAGAATTTAAGTTTCGAGAAACACAGTCTGATTGCTGCCATCTAAAGGGCTGCGTATTCCACGTTTATTTTTTGTCCATCTCTGCCTCAGCGTAACGGTATGCGAACAGAACCGCAATTTCATCCAGATGTTAGGGGTACGTATCTCTTCTCCCAAGCCATGTAATGTAAATTGATGATGTGCTGATTGGAAACTCCTTCATCTGCCTAGAAATGCTATACACCAAAGGTGCAATTAATTAAGCACTACAGCTGTGTGACACGCCCCAACCCCCAATTCGTTTCACTTAGGAAGCCTCATATCTGGGCAGAGATTGTAGCATGCTTCTCTTTTGGGTTGGATTTAGGATCACAAGTACCGCGCTTATCAGGTTTATTTTAGGCAAGCCCTAGGAACCATTTTATGCTTCTTGCTCTCTAGGAGGGACTAGGGTGGGTGCTAAGCCCTTCATGAGCGCATGCTCGCTCTCCCTCACAGTACTACAGAGACACTGGCTCTGCATAAATTGTTTGTCTATGCTCATTTGAACAGGGGTCTAAGTCTGGGACTTGTCATTGCGTCATTGTCAACCTTGTACGTCAATTTTGTACTGTTCCCATTCTGACTTGAAAATGGGTCGTAGAAACTCAACCATAGAAATAAGTCATCTGATTCCTATGCAACTGCTGCTCCTATGCATACTTTTTCTTCTTCAAAAAAAAAACCCTCTCTCTATTTATAAGGATTCCTAGATGAAGTAATGAAGAAATATGGCAGTCTAATTCCACTCTGTGAAAAGGATGTTATGGGAAGATTAAAGGAAGTCTTTAATGAAGACTTCTCCTATAGGTTAGTAGCTATCTCTTAATTCTTCGCTCTGCTGATTCACTTTCCGGATTCCACTGGCTTCCTATGGCTATGCAGAGCTGCATATCAAATGTGCTGGGATAACTTCGCATTGTCTTACCTCTTTTTTGGCTGCCTGTTCCAGAAAGCCATTCATCACCAAGGAAATCATGAAGTATCAGACGAGGCATCCCAAATCTTCCACTTGCAATTTCCGGGTCTTCTATAACAAGCACATGCTGGATATGGATGATTTGACAACGTTGGATGGTCAGAACTGGCTAAACGATCAGGTGAGAGCAATTGCAGATTCTGCTGCTTAAAATGGTGCTTTCAGTCACGCCATCGTGGTACTGTTGCCTTGCTTCCAGGTTGAAGGGATGTTGGGTTTTCTTTGGAGCAGGATGCAAAACATTGACCTGCTTCTATACTGTCTTCATGGATCTTGGCCTTATTGTGGGAAATGAGTTCTAGGGTTTAGAAAAGGCAAGGGTTATCCAGTAGAGGCGTCTGCAATGCGAGAATTCCCTGATCTTCAGTAACGTCTGTTAAAACTCCCATCCAAGGTCATCTTTTTTTTAAAAAACTTTTTTTTAAACACATTTATTCAAAAGTCTCTCCTACCCAGTTGGCATACTGCTGGAAGGGTGTGTGATTTCGGAGGGAAGGAACCACTCAAGTCACTACTAATATATTTGATTGGTGCCTGTTTGTGTGTGTACATTCAAGGGTGTTCCTAGGTCCATATTTGTCACCAGAGGTTCAGGTGATCTCTCCAGTGAGGAGCACCTGTTATCAGCTTACATGGATATACCAATAACCTCTTTCCTGAACAGGGTTGGCTTGGCCACTGTCATGTGTGCATTAGTTGACCTCATGACTGGTTGGTCCTATACAGGGGTACCTCTGGATGCGAACGGGATCTGTTCCGGAGCCCCTTTCTCATCCAGAAGCGAATGATTTGCTGCTTGTGCGCGTGACGTCATTTTAACAGTCTGCGCATGCACGAGTGATGAAACCCAGAAGTAACGCGCTCCGTTACTTCCGGGTTGCTGCAGTGCGCAACCCGAAAATACTTCTCCCGAAGCTACTTCAACCCGAGGTATGACTGTATTATGGAATGCCCTTCTGTGGGGGACATAAGCCAGTGGATCTCTGAGTTGAGTATGAGGAAGTTAAGACAGGATAACCTCTCAGCTTCGTTGGAGTTCATCCTAGTAGACCTTGTTATAGAATTGCCCCCTTAATCTGGTTCTGGGTTCAAATTGGTTAGATTGCTATGGTGTAAGTAAGTGGCTTGATTTGTACAGAACTAGACTGTCTAATTAGAATTGGAATGCTAGCTTTGAAACATGTAATCCAGGCTAGGATTAGTGCATCCTTCCAAATTTGCATTCTTACTTAGCGGAATGAGAAAATGAAGCTTGCAAAGATGGTTGACTGCAACAGTAGAATAAGACAAAATTGTAAAGCAAATAACCATGACAGCTTCCTTCTCATACTTGTCTGCTACATTCAGTGGTGATTCGCATCGCTGCCTAAAAATGAGATTTGAAAATTCTCTAAGACAAGATGTGAGCATGGAACTTGCTCTGTCTGTCGGTCTAGGGGAAAAAAAATATTTACATCCTTACACCCTATCTTGTGTGGTCAGGTCTAGATTCCTGTTATACCAAATGCTTTTGCATATTTGTGGAAATCTGTATACAATGTAAAATAGTAGCCTCTTTCTGGACTGAGAAGAGAATTTCTGCTTCACAAAGGACTCTGTCCATCTGCTGCATATCAAGCCAGTAAGTAATGTGTCCAGCCTGTGAAATGTGCCAGACACACTTTGCACCTGGCTATCGGCCACTTGTGACCAGGTGAAGATACCCGGGTGCCAGGATGGTGCCTGACGTCTCCACCTTCTGGAGGTGCATGCCTGGGGATCCTTGGATCTTGACTGTTTTCACACACTAGCAACACATCCTGTAAAATTTTATCCATTATATTTTATCTGCAGAATGAATTTCAGAAACCAAAAACTTGTATTGAAAAATACAACTTTTGAGCTGTCTGGTCCAAAAATGACAACCAGGCATTTTTTTTATTATTATTTTTTGCAGCTGTAATCCTGGTTTAAGGAACCATTTGGTGCCTAGTTTCTAACACTGCATGTGTCAAATCTGCTACAATACACCCACAAAGTCATTTCCCTCAACACCAGGGTGTAACTTCAGGTCAAAAAGTGCCCCTTAATCTCCTTGGATACATACAAATATGTTAATCTTCAGATGAGCTACCTGACTTAATGAAGAAAGGCTCAATTAGCTCACGGTTTTCTCAGGTCTGGCTCTCTGAGTTTCATAGAGGTAGAGCTGTGCATATTATATCTGGTCATTCTAAGAATTACTGTGCAACTTTAAGAATTGGTGTGTGGGTTTGCTTTATTTGTTGGTCTTCCCTCCTCCCCCCAGGCTGCTTTTGTGTTGTGCAATTTAGATTGTAAGCCTGTAAGTAAGTTTGTACTAATCATATGTAAACCACTCTGGGAGCCCTTTTGGTTGAAAAGCAAAGTAAAAATGCTTTAGATAAATAAATGAAGGACATAGCAGCGTTGTAAACTTATTCCTGAACACATTGTCCATGTGAATATAATTGGAGGAAGAAGGACCTCCTCTGTCATAGAGAACAGAGCCATGTTTCCCTTATTTTTTGGTGGAAAAATGTTGGGAGTACACTGGTACAAAACGAACATGTGATTCTTTTTTTAAAGAGCAGAAATCACACCTCTTGCAAGATGGAGCGAGCTGCCATTTGGGGCAGTCTTTGTTTTAAATCCGACACTGTGGGTGGGTGGGATTCCAGTCCTTACGGTTGCAATCTTGTATGTGTGGGGGCAGTAGCTGCTGCAATCCCAGAATCTGAAAAGGTGGCAGAATAAACCTCCAGAGAATAAAACTTTCAGTCTCCAGCGTAACTCATTGCTACTAGCAAAAACAGAGTAAATTCATTCATTCTAAATCGTTCAGGTTGCAGAATTCAGCTTTCTTTGTTGTTGGATTGTGCAGAATGTATTTTCAATGTGCAGTATAGTATCCTGGCTTCTAGCAGTGCATTCAAAGAATGACCACATACATTGAGCATTGCAGAGGAGCAATTCACAAATGTAATGTTGTGTTTTTCCTCCCTAATAAAGTTTAAGCTTTCTTCTTCTCTAAACTCTTTCAGATTATCAACATGTATGGCGAGCTAATAATGGACGCAGTCCCTGACAAGGTGAGCTTCTTTTACTTGGTTCTCTATTATGCAACAGTAGCTCAATTGGATAGTGGGGAAAAGGTGGCTTAAAAGTATTAGTCCTAAGGGGAAATGGAGAGGGGCAATTATGGGGGCAGTTATTCCTAGCTTTGCGCAGGGGAAGGGAGTAGTCAATCCTTTAATCTGCTGGCTGTTTATTTACATATGAATGCCACTCTAGAGCACACACATTCGTCTACTATTATTTAATTTATATATTGCTTACATGCCAAAATGTCATGTAAGCAGTTTACAACTGTAAATCAACACATAACCAAGAGACACAATAACAAATCCACTGGAGTATTAAAACATCCTTAATTAAAGTATGCAATAAAACAAGCATAACAAAACAGTTAAAACAATAAAATTGGACCTTCAGAATCACACAGCATGGTTTATGAGCTGAAGCTCCCCTCCTCCACTAGTTAAGAGGTTTTTACTGTGGTATAAAAATACTCTTAATAAAATAAACCTTCCTTAGTTGGGGTGCAGCAGATCTTGGTTTGCATTCAGCTGGAGTTCATTGTGCTAGAACTGGAGGCTTTGAATGTGATCAGTCATCGACCTCTTCTGCCTTTTGTAGGTTCATTTCTTCAACAGCTTTTTTCATAGACAGCTGGTAACCAAAGGATATAACGGAGTAAAACGATGGACTAAAAAGGTAGGCTTCTGTGTGCTCTGAAAGCCCTTAACAGCTGCGTAATACTGAACTATTTTGAAGAATGAATTTGAAATGAATGCACTGCGCCGAACCCGGAAGTACTGGAATGGGTTCCTTCCGGGTTTTGGCGCTTGTGCACGTGCAGAAGCACTAAATCGCGCTTTGCGTGTGTGCAGAAGCACCAAATTGCGACCCACGTGTGCACAGACGCGACACTGGGGGTTGAGAACGTGCCTCCTGCACGGATCACATTCGCAACCCGAGGTTCCACTGTATTGCTAAATTATTGGGCTGAGTTCAAGGTTCTTGTATTAATTTCCAAGTCCTTAATTTGGGTCCAGGATATCGTAAGGACCATCTGATTCCTTATATTTCATCCCAGTCAGCTAGTCCACAATGACTCAAATGCATGGCTCATAATTATTAGACACCTTGCATTCATTGTAGTGGATGTGAGCCTGTGGAGCTCCTTCCCAGCTGAAATTAGACAGGCGCCCTCTTTGCAGAACTTCAGGCACATGACTGAGACTTCCTTGTTCCAGCAGGCATTTTAAAGTAGCATTTGGTTTTATGATGAGTTTTTATTGTTTTATTTTTAAATTCAACTTTATTTGTTTTTTTAAATGTACATAACTTAGAAGGGCTTAGGATTAAATGGCATGTAAATGTCTTAAATAAATGAGTGCGTGCCTTTGGCTGCTTAAGATAGATCTGAGAGGCCGTAGTTTCCTGATAAAACACAGGTTTTGCATGAAAGATGGTCCCAGGCTCGGCTGCAGAATATACATAGCCATGAACCAAAAGCAGAAGCGAGGAAAGCATCTTTGTGCTAGAAGTGCTGGTTACAAGCATCGCACACAGCTGGGGAATTACCCTCCAGCATCACTGACCTAGTGGAAATACCCTTCCAAGCCCCAAATAGTAAACTTGATAGTTCAGAATAAACCCGCCCAGGGAGCCTGGATGTTCCTCTCTAATATGGCGGATGGAAAAACCTCTGGGTAACAGGAAAGACTTCCTATATCCAACTGAGTTGACTGATTAAAATATTTAGAGAGGTGTGTGAAAGAAAGAAAGAAAGAAAGAAAGAAAGAAAGAAAGAAAGGGTCTAGCAAGCTTCAGGATAGGAAAAGATGGCCTCCTTAGAGTATACAGCCTTGGCTTTTGTTCCTCAACCTACAGGAAGCTCAGCAACTCAGCACTATGAATTATATATGGAGCCATGTAGCAAAGTGTTTGGGCTGAAGTGCTCCAGAGCATTGTAGGTGTTTGCTTAAATCACAACTGAGCACTGAAATGGGCTTTGTTTGCAGAGAGGCTTAAAGTAGACTTGAGATGTTTATTAAATGTTTATTTAAGGCACATCCTTAAATCTTGGAAATACTTCAGAATGAATAAAAGCAGGTTCCTTCTATCGATTGATTAATCAATCAATCAATCAATCAGCTTTTTATTTTATTTATGTAAAAATACTTTTGTTTCTCGAGGAATAACTTAGATTCAGATTAATATTAGCAAAGCTAGCCCTGCTGTTAAACTATAAAGCTAATCAATGCCCCTACCAGATACGTTGCGACTTTTCTGTGCGAATGAAGAAGCATGTTGATCATTTCCCAAATATCCTGTGTACTCGGTCACTTGGAGAACGGGGTTCGCTATCCTTATGTAGGCAAAATGGCACCATCTATGTGCAATATGAAGTACTGTCAGGCTTTGGCAAACTTAAGGCTTGCAGGTAGGTAGCCGTGTTGGTCTGCCGTAGTTGAAACAAAATAAAAAGATTCCTTCCAGTAGCACCTTAGAGACCAACTAAGTTTGTTATTGGTATGAGCTTTTGTGTGCATGCACACTTCTGAAGTCATACCAGCGCTGTGGATCCGGCAATCGTGGCGAGCCTCTTCAAGCCCAGCTGGTCCCCTCAACACCCCACTATCCGTGATGCTTTTTTGGGGGGTGTCTAACCCTGTCACTCACTCCCACCGCTCAAAACCCCCGGTAGCGATCGTCTTTATTAAACGGACGACTCACACCGCGCCGCCATTTCCCTTTGCAAGCAAACCGGAAGCTTGTTCCGGTCGTGAAATGTTTTATTCCAGTGGGACGTTGTTGCGCAAGAAGAATGCACCAGGTTGCTGGTAATTTTGTTGCACAGTCTTGTGCAGCGAGTTGCACAATCTGAGTTTCTGCTATTGCAGTTGTTGCATTGGCGTCCTCTGCTCAACATTAAAACTCACCTTTGTGCTAGTCGACAGACAACAATAGATGTGGTCCATGGGCACTGTATATTGACTCTGCGGAGACAGAGTTGCTCTAACCTGCCCAGTGACTCTCAGGCCTTCCTTCAGCCTGTGCATAGAATTCTAGAGCCGGAAGGGACAGTGAGGGTCATCCATTCCAACCCCCTGCAATGCAGGAATCTTTTGCCCAGTGTGGGGCTCGAACCCACAGCCCTGAGATTAAGAGCCTTGTGCTCTACCAGCTGAGCTATCCCAGCCTTTGATCACAAGCACTTCTTGCTTTGCTGCTCTGTTTCTGTGAAGGCAGGGCTGGGTCGGCCAAGGCAGAGTGAAGCAGAAAGAAGCAGTGAGTGCTGGAAGCAATAGGCAAAGTTTTAGATAAGAGCACAGCTTCCTACAGTCCTCTCCTTAGCTCATAACTGATACGGCTTCTTTTTGATAAGAAAGTCTCTCTATGGGGATATTTTAAAAGCATGCCCTCTGTAGGTAAAAATGGAAAGTGTTCAAAACTGTATGTAGAGTGCAGCAGGTGTAAATGAAATTGTTTTTAGTTGATAACAAGGGTCAAGTAGTCACTTTGTAGGAAGCGCATGAATTATCAGATGGAATATTGATTAAATCAGTTATTTAAGTCAGCCTTTATTTTTATTTTTGTTAACTTGAAATTGTCTTGTTTTTGAAACCTTTGCACCCTCTGATGCTGTCACAATTTTGTTCCCAGACTCTCTTTGAGGTTCAGCTGTCTGTCGTACTTCTGCTTTGGCAAAAATGTGATCTCCTCAGTAGCTACTGAGTGTGATCTCTTCCATCCCTCCTCCTTTTCTTTCTTTCTTGTCTTTCTTTTTTGAGATAGAAAGTCAATCCTCTTTTGTAAGGATTCATTTAAAACGGGGCCTCATAAATTGAAATGTGCTGTTCTGCTTCTTGGAATGAGAAGCTAAATTGGATTTTGTTACTTAGCTTGCATACTAGATCTCTGCTTTTGTTTTGTTCGTGCCTTGTGCAGCATTTCAAAGTCTGCAGCAAACATCTGTTTCACCTGACTGAATTTTAATTAAACTTGGGGTGCATTCGCTTTCCATCTTTTGCCCCAGAATAAGAGTATCTGATTTTTGACGCTTCTGATAAGATTGCTCTCACTTCCTCCTCAAAACAAATGCTAATTCTCAACCTGACTGCAAGGAGCTTGTATATAAGAATGGCTAAGATTAAACTATGCACCAGGAAGGCCCCAGTTCAAATCTCATCTCAAGCCTCTTCTTTTCAGCTTGGGTTCCCCACCTGCGATATGGCAGTGATACTGACCTACCTTGTAGGGTGATTGTAAGACTTCTCCAAAATAATGCGTGCAAACAGCTGCAAGCACTTTCTGCAAACGCTAAATATTACTCCCTCACATTTTTGTGTAATCCTCAGAGGTTGGTCGAGCAAAAAGATAAATGGTTCACCCAGGTCTAGAACTGAGACTTCCTACGTCCAAGCCCAGTATTTTATAGTCGCGGAACCTTAGTAGTTTGTACCTGGTTTTTCTACTTCCCACACCTTTTTGTGGGAATGGGTATCTTAATTGGTTGCTGGGGAAAGCACCTCCATTGCTTTGAACTGAAGCCGTTTCTCTTAAGTGAAACCAGCAACGTGGCAACTTGCCTCTGGCCATTCACGAGTTGGCATCTTGGGTATTGGGCAACTACTTCATGGGATGTTATGTGCTTGGTGGGGGCCTTTCTGCTGCTCCCACCACATGGGCAAGGGTGCCTGCCCTGAGAAATTCCTTGTTTCAGGCTTCTCTCTGCAGGCACAAGAGCTAGAAAACCTCCTTGCAATAGCTGAGAACACTAGAAGTGTACCTAATTCTCTGCCTTACACAATTGGGCATTCTTGCCGGTGTGTGCACACCAGGTGCAATGGGACCGGCATCCCTTTCCGTAGAAGTGTGCTCCTTTTTTGTGTATGCATAAAACCGTAACTTAGACAGTTGGGACCTATTCATCCCTTCCATGTTATTTAGCAGTTTTGCTTGCAGCATCAGGTATTAAACACATGCAGCCTGCCTTGCAGAAATGCTTGTCCTATCCATTAAGCTGCCATCCTCATCACTCGCCCAAGGCTGTTTCCACCTCTCTATATGCCTTCGACATCTTCACTCGTAGGCTAGATGCAGAATGCAGAGCTCCTTCGTTGTCTTTTGGCTGCGTTGTGCGGCTGCTGCTGCGTGCGTTCACGTGCGGAAGGCTGTCTCTTAGGAATGCTAATTTCATGCTTAAAACCCAATGCCATCTCATAGCACACTTGTCAAAAAAATATTGATTTTGAATAATTCAGCATGAAGAGATGTAAAGCAGTAACGGCCGCGCTGCTTAAAAATAAATAAATTGAAGCATCTGTTTAAACAAGCAAATGGCATCAAATAAATTGCGTCTGAGGAGGAAAACGGAACCCAAAGTGAATGTCTATAAGCTCTAAGGCTTAATCTACATAAAGGGGCAAATTCGAAGCAGTAGAATGGACTTTATATCGCAGGCAGGGGGTGGGGGGGGATGAGGGTCATATTTTTCCAATACCCCTTGCAAGAAGAAAACCAACAGAGCAGAAAGTGGGTTGAGTGAGAACCTTTCTCGCTGACGTGCTGCTTTCCTTACTTTATTTTACTGTGTTGGGAGTGTTTTATGCGGGGAGCATTGAAAATGCCACTTTCTTCGACCTGTAGCCTTTACAGGGCATAGATCAGGACTCAGCTAGTGGTAGAAATGGAGCTGGCTTGCGAGGGTTGGGAGGAAGAACATTTCACCTCTGCTTGTCCCACAAATACTTGGAGCAGACTTGGAAACAAGATCTTTCCTGTTGGTACTGTTCTGTGCAGTTACGGTATCACCAGAAGGGCCTTAGCCCATGGACCAGCCTTTATGCCCCATAAGAGCTGCTGAGCGGGTCAGACTCCTGCTGAAAGTGGTGGGGCTTGTATTCGCTGCCAAACTTAGAACACTGGATTGCAAAGAAATAATTGGGTGTGTTCTCATGCATGTATGCTCTTACCTGAATAATAATAATAATAATAATAATAATAATAATTAATAATAATTTATTTATACTCTGCCCATCTGGCTGAGTTTCCCCAGCCACTCTAGGCGGCTCCCAATCGAGTGTTAAAAACAATACAGCATTAAATATTAAAAATTTCCCTAAACAGGGCTGCCTTCAGATGTCTTTTAAAGATAAGATAGTAGTTTATTGCCTTGACATCTGCTGGGAAGGTGTTTTACAGGGCAGGCGCCACTACCAAGAAGGCCCTCTGCCTGGTTCCCTGTAACCTCACTTCTCGCAGCGAGGGAACCACCAGAAAGCCCTCGGTGCTGGACCTCAGTGTCCGGGCTGGACAATGGGGGTGGAGACGCTCCTTCAGGTATACAGGACCAAGGCCGTTTAGGGCTTTAAAGGTCAGCACCAACACTTTGAATTGTGCTCGGAAACGTACTGGGTGGGTATGGCTGGGGCAAGAGGGCTTGCTTCCACTTGGAAAGTCTTGCCTAGTTCAATGTCTGTGTAGTGCTTGCCTGGTAACCATTGCTGCCTCCAAGGCTAGTGGGTTTTGTTTTGTTTAATTTGGCTTTGTCAGAAACCAGAATGTGCCACCACTACTTGATTTTTATCACATTTTGTATGCTCTCTTCTAAGGAGCTAAGGGATGGTTGTTTTGTCACAGTTTATGACCCTATAAAGTTAGATATCGTGACTGACTGAAGATGGCACAGTGAGTGGCCGTTTGAACCTGGATCTCCCTGCTCCAAGTCTGACAAGACAATGGCCTTCCAAGCCTACAATGAGTAGAGTAACTCAAGAGTAACGCAGCTTACATGCTTTTACACCTGACAACAGAACATTTTAATTTGGCGTGTCATATTCAAGAAAAATCGCTGTAGTTGTTGCTGCTTCACTGGCTCCCTGTTTTTTTATTTCATAGTATAGGGGAAGGAAGAATGTGTCTTATGAGAAATAGGCTGCTCCACGCACTTGCTTTTCGGTGACTTAAATACACATAGGGTGAAATGTTTTCAGGCTGTTCTCTTCCTACGGTGGTTTGGGATCATTCTGTCTTGAGCTTTGTCACATTACAACTGAATTGCACGTGACTTTGTATTTTGTGGTGATGGGTGCTCTCTTCCCCTTCACTAGGTGGACCTCTTCAAAAAGACACTCTTGTTAATTCCTATTCATCTGGAAGTCCACTGGTCCCTAATTACTGTGAATCTTCCTAACCGAATTATTTCGTTTTACGACTCTCAAGGCATTCACTTTAAGTTCTGTGTCGAGGTAAGAGCAACTTGTTGTTATAGCTGTTCTACTAAACAGCGTCGGCCTCAGAAAAAGCACTTAGCGCCCCCCCCCCCGTCCTTTCACAGGGCTCTGATTTTTTCGGTAATCCTTTGAAGCTTCTAATCTACACATTTCAGGACTCTTTGGCCCAAAAGAGAGCACTGTCAGTGTGGAAACTGGCCCAGATGTAGTTCAGAAGTTGTTGTGCGAATTAGACTCTAATCTTCAGGCAAGTGACATACCAGTCTCAAGGATCCCAGGCCAGGTGCTATATTGTTTGGTAGCGTTTCCTTGTCTTGAAGCTTGTCTTGGCTCTGCCCAAAACCTTTTGTTCTTGCAACTCTGCTGCAGCCACAAACCCTAGGAGTTTATATAATTTCAAGACTTGCTTCTCCAGCAGTACATTTCGTGCATACCCCACATTCACGAAAGCGACAGTTCCTATCCAGTGTATCTAAATTAACCCTAAATAGCTTCCAAATAGTTTATGCCCTTTATCAGTCCCACTTCTACCCCGCTCCCTTCGGTAAAGATCTCAAGGCCCTGTGTATGATGTTTATTTCATTTTTACCTTTTGCATTGGGCCTGCTCGGTGTTCTTGGGGTCTCCCAGCTTCACACGATGGGCAATTGCAGAATTAATCCCAGTCTCCTCCAGTCCAAGCAGAAAATTCTCTTCACTGTACCCACAGGTATCCTCTTCAGGGAAGCACTCAGTTAAGACGTTTTCATAGCAGTATTCAAATGGCCCTTATTCTTGTCCCCCACCCCCTCTTCTTTAAAGAACATACGCAAATACTTGCTGACAGAAGCTAGAGAAAAGAACCACCCCGACTTCCTTCAGGATTGGCAGACTGCTGTTACAAAGGTAAGGACCACCTGTGTGGTTTTTAGGAAGATGGCTTTGTTGAGTAAGATGAAACACGCAGTCTCCACCAGAAGTCAGAAATCTCCACCTTTCCCCAGGAAGCCCAGAGAGCGTTTGCTACAAAAACCCTCAGCATGTGACGTGTTCCCACCAAACTAAGAATGCAGGGATGGGGAGCCTAGAGCCCTCCAGATTCTTTGGGACTACAACTCTTATCAGCTCCACCTGGTGTGGCCAATGCTCATGAATTATGGGAAATGGAGTCCAGGGACATCTGGAAGGCACAGTGAGCATAAGAAGAGCCTTCTGGATCAGCCAGTGACCAGTCTGGTCCAGCAACCTGGTCTCCTAGTGGCCAACCAGATGCCTTTAGGGTTCCTGAGCAGTACCTGAGCACAAAACACTCTCCCTCCTGCATTTTCCAGCAACAACTATTCAGAAGCATTGCTGCCTCTTGACAGGGGAGGCAGAACATAACCATCAGGGCTGGCAGCCAGTAAGAAGCATTGGGGGGGGGGTTTGTCTTGCCACAAGCTCTACCTGCGCTGCAATGATGCCTCTTGCTTCTGTGTGAGAATGGGCAGGGATTCCCAGGGATTTAGCCACAGCCAAACTAGCTGCCTCCATTTGCAACCAGGCGGTGTATACTGTATTTTTCGCTCTATAAGACTCACTTTTCCCCTCCTAAAAAGTAAGGGGAAATGTGTGTGCGTCTTACGGCGTGACTGCAGGTGGGAGGCTCTGCTCAGCGCTCCCTTTAAAGAGCCGCACACACTCCGTGCGCTCTTTAAAGGGAGCGCGGCTCTTGGGGGAGTCTTAGCCACACGCAGCCTCTCCTGGGCAGGGGGGATGAAGGCTCCCGCTGCCCAGGAGAGGCTGCGCGCGGCTATCCCATAAGCCAGGACAGCCAGCGGGATCGCTGTGCAGCGATCCCGCTGGCTGTCCTGGCTTCTGGGATTCGGAATATTTTTTTTCTTGTTTTCTTCTTCCAAAAAACTAGGTGCGTCTTACGGTCTGGTGCGTCTTATAGAGTGAAAAATACAGTAATTCTGGTGAAATAAATGAAATCGTGAAACGGGGAAAAAATCTGTGGTGGAGGTGGAATGGGGAAATTAGAGTTGGGCAGTATTTTACGTTCAAAACCGCTGTGGGTTCATGGCTGTGCTCGGATGGAGTTAGCAGATTGTAGGCAACAGCGTGTTGCATGACCAAAAGAAGCACATCTTTTCTGAGGTGCCTGGGAGGCTGCTGCAGTGAATGGCAGGGGGGTTTAAAAGTGGTGGAAGTGACTCCCCCCCTCCCCAGCTACCAAGACATCCACGTTACTCCAGTACGACAGCCGCTTGCAACCAGATGTAGTCTGGCAGTGATAAAAGGGAACAACTTGTGTGAAGTGCAAACGAGGGAATTTGTGACTTGCATAACCGTATCCTGTAATAGTTCTGAAGAGATAAAATGGGTCATTGAACATTAAGCTGTCTCCCAACGGCTTTCTGGTACAATGAGGCATCTTGAGGCTTTATTACTGCATGAGGAAGTTCTCTCACTTCTCCTCCACCCCCCCCCCCAAAAAGTGACTCTGCAGCCCTAGGGGCGGGGAGGTAGTTTGAGGTCTAGGACATAACCTAACCTCTGGAGTGTCTGGTGATTTTTATGTCTGGAGAATCTGGAAGATGTGCTGGTAAAGCTGGAGTGTTTCCAAGCCAGCTTGGCTTTGTTGTAATCGCTTCAGGGAGCAGGTGATTCAGGACCTATCCTCGCGTTGTGTTTTTCAAGTGCACACCTAAAAATAACAGAGATGCAACTGTGGCACCTGCCTTTCTAAATATACCTTTTGAATATTATTGTACGTAAAACTGCACTGTTCAAAAATATAGATTTGACAGGCCCATCTCCCTGTGCTTACAATCTAAAGACTATGTGCACCATGGAGGAAATAAAAGGAGAACCTATTTAATTTCATATTACTTGTAAGCCACTTTGGTAGCATTCATATCCTGAAAGATGGGATATAAATATTTGTAGTACATTTGCGGGGGGTGACTCAAGGTGGTGGATAGCTTTGGCACCCTACTTGGCCCAGCGGACATATTGCCAAAGTCTTCCTTAAGAAACCCAGTTCTCTCCTTCCTTGTACACTTAATGAAACAGGTCTCCAGGATTCACTGGGGGAAGCTTGTGTGGACATAGCAATTTTGGGGAGGGGTGGATGGGATAATGGCACACACCAACCAGACCTGCGGAGAGGACCTTGGATGCAGGCAGGTGGACTAGTTGCCAGGGCCCACAGGCTCTGGCCAGGGGTGGCGGGTGCCAAAGCACAGTAAAAACACGGGGCTGTAGAATGGTCATTTGGTTGCAAAAACATATAGTGGTGCCTCGCAAGACGAAAAGAATCTGTTCCGCGATTCTCTTCGTCTTGCGGTTTTTTCATCTTGTGAAGCAAGCCCATTAGCCGCTTAGCGGATTAGCGCTATTAGCGGCTTAGCGGGCTTAGCGGATCAGCTGATAAGCGGCTTAGCGGATCAGCTGATAAGCGGCTTAGCGGATCAGCTGTTAAGCGGCTTAGCGGATCAGCTGATAAGCGGCTTAGCGATCAGCTGTTAAGCGGCTTAGCGGATCAGCTGATAAGCGGCTTAGTGGCTTGGGAAAAAGGGGGGGGGGGAAACCCTGCAGGAACTCGCAAGACATTTTCGTCTTGCGAAGCAAGCCCATAGGAAATTTGTTTTGCGAAGCACCTCCAAAACGGAAAACCCTTTCGTCTAGCAGGTTTTCCGTCTTGCGAGGCATTCGTCTTGCGGGGCACCACTGTACTTGTCACTTCATGCATTATGCCACTGTTTATCAAACTTGAGCCCCCAGCTGTTGTTGGGACTACAACTCCCATCATCCCTAGCGAGGAGGGCCAGTGGTCAGGGATGATGGGAGTTGTAGTCCAGCAATGGCTGAGGACCCAGCTTTGAGAAACACTGGCATAATGCATGAAGCAGCCATTCAGTAACCCCACTAAGACCCAGCCAGAACTTACTTTCCTTCTTTCCAGCACTAGAAAGTGCTTGTGGCCGTGTTGCTGAGGATTAGGCCCATGATGTTGAGCTGCTTTCTGTGCCTCTTTGAGCACCTGCTACAGATTAGCCTGAAACACACTGACTTGGTGCCCACAGAACTGATGAGTAAAAATGTGTCCCGTACCAAGCCTTCAAATTACTGGCATTGATATGCAGGCTAATCACACTAAAGGACTTCCATTTGCCATAGCTTTATGCCTTTGTAGCTTTCTAAAGCTGTTAAGGAGGTGAGATGCAGAAATCTCTCCCTCCCTCACCCCCCCCCATGAAGCCTAGAGACAAATGCTTCTCTGATCTGGCGCATTTGGGCTTCTGCGGGCACCAGTGTGCAAGCACGAAACAAATTCTTCCTGTGTAAAGCAGATAGCAATGTTCAAATATTTACTCAAAATAATTGAGGAGAAACTATCCTGCTGAGGTCATTAAAAATTCGGTGCTGGGCTGGGAGATGTAATTTGTTTTCTATTATAAAATGCGTATTTGTGTTAAATTACTTGGCCCGATCCATGCAAGGATCTGAGCACCTCCTTGAGTATAGAATGCATGGGCTGTGTGACACAGCCCAGTCTGTCGTGACCTCTTGGCTTTGATTTACTTCAGAGGACCATCCCCTAAAATAAGCTACTCTCTCTCTCTCTTTTTTTTTAAAAAAAGAAAGGATGGGGAACCTGGGGCCCTTAGACCCGGCCAGAATGGCCTGTGGTCAGAGATGGTTGCAGGTTCCCCATCCCTGAACTGTTAGAACTGTTTCTCTCTCTCCAAAGTGGAAAAAAAGAGAAATGTTTTGCTGTATTGAATTATATCTGAATTTCAGGTTGATGTGGATATAGACTTCATCCCAAAAGATCCTGGGACGAATCCACCCTTGCTCTGGGATCCCAGGGATTTCTGCTCTACTTGTATGTGTCCCATGCCCCCTCCATCTGCTCCAGAAGTTTGGGGGAACTTCCAGGACAGATTTAGGGAGCAAGAGCAGAAGAAGGGGGCGTTCTTTGTGCTGACAGGACAAGGGAGTTAGTGCTATGTTGGGTTCCACCTTCTGAGTCTGCAGATGCTGTTGCTCCTGCAAAAACATTCCTTCCCTGGCGCAGTGTAGAAGTGATGAGGTGTTGGCTGCTCTGTCTCTCCCTCTCCACATTGCTGCTAGGAGTCACTCCTCTTTGCTGGCTCCAGATGAGAGCGAAGTAGGGAGAGTCGAGATGTGAGACAGTGCAGAAAATATGAGAGTGGTTGATCAGCAACCGCCGGGTACCCCTTGCTCGCTGCTATCATCCTGCAAGCAGTCGAAGAGCGCAAGTGGTTATCTGCCTGGTGTCCCACAAGCCCAATTGGCAAAGGACTTGTGCCATGAAGAGGAGTATATAAGAAAAGTGGCTGCTGGATCAGCCCAAGGCCCATCTAGCCATAGACTTGTAGAGCTGGAAGGGACCACCAGGGTCATTTATTCCAACTCCCTGCAATGCAGGAATCTTTTGCTCAGTGTGGGGCTTGAACCCACGAACCTGAGATTAGGAGTCTCGTGCTTTACCAACTGAGCTATCCCAGCATCAGGTCCAGCGCTCTGTTCTCTCAGTGGCCAACTGGATACCTGCAGGACAGCGCTCTTCCCACCTGTGCACCCAGGGTTCTTTCTCTTGAATCGCCCTTTCGACAGGTGGGGCTAGGAAATGTGGAGGCTGCTCCCCCAGCTTTCATTTGGAGGAGAGTCTTGAATGGGGAATCATTCTATGGATGTTTGAAATTTGTTTGCATTTCCCCCCCCCCCCTTCCCCTTCTAGTGCATTCCACAACAGAAAAACGACAGTGACTGTGGAGTTTTTGTGCTCCAGGTAAGGATGCAATCGTTTTTTATATATATTTTATTATTTTTGTGTGGGCTTCCTCCCTCTTTAGAATCTTCCTTGTAATAATTTTCGGTTCTGGTTCCTAAGCCTCTCTCTCATTTCTCTCCTTCTCCCCCCGCAGTACTGCAAGTGCCTCGCCTTAGACCAGCCTTTTCAGTTCTCCCAGGAAGACATGCCTCGGGTGCGAAAAAGGATTTACAAGGAGCTCTGCGAATGCCGGCTAATAGACTAATAAAAAGGAAGAGAAGGAAAGAGAGAAGCTACTCCTTTCGGCATTTTCGAAGAGCCCTGGCTGGTATTTTGTGTACTTGAATTTTCTGAGAAACTTCCATGGATTTCAAAACGAGTCTTGGCGGAGCAGTGTGGCCAACACAATTACCTCAAACATTTTTTCTGACGTGCTCCTTAACCGGCGGACCTGCCACAAAATATTCCCGATGTCAGTCGTTGGTTCCCCCCTCCCCCCTTTTCTTTTCGTTTTCTAATGTTCTTTCCTGTATTTAATATTTATTATCTTAAAAACGCATGCGCATAGGCAAAGCATGCGACTAAACGAGAAGTATAAAACTGTAGAATTGGTGCACCTTTTGAAATGTAGCTAGAAACAGAAGAGAATAATACAGGTTAAACTTTTTTGTCTGAAAACATAAAAAATGCATGTTCCATTCCCCCCCCCTCTGATGCAATAATGCTTTGAATGTACAAAGAAACCCAATGCCATAACGAGAGCAGTTACAACATTTCTTCCAGAAAAACGACAACCTGAGACTATTCCTCCTTCAGCCTTTTTAAAAAAAAGCTCTAAATCCCCATTATATTGGGAAGAAGAGGGGTGTGTTGGAAACTGGCCTATATATTTGATTTGTGGAAGTCCAGTAAAGATTTAAATCATTGCAACTTGGGGGGAGGGGGGGAGAAAATCTACTAGGTGGCTACTAGATCACCCTACAGTTCAAAAGCAATCCCTTGTACACGAGACTCTTTAGTACTAATAAAAGATGGAGATGCTAGTTCGGTTCGGATTTGGTGGTGTTGCTCCTACACTTGCTCTGGAAACGTCTTCTTTTTTTTTTAATATGGTCCCATTCTCAGGTGATTTGTAGGCCACATCTGAGCCTCTGAGCCTCTCTGCCTGCCTTTACTTCTCTCTCCCCCCCAAAAAACTCCCTTTTCTTGTTCCTTGTGTTTGTTGTGGTGTCGGTGACAGGGTCAAGAGGACAACAGCTCTTTTATCTATCTGTAAGTTTTCTTGCTTCTTGGGGCTTGTCCTGCAGGGAGTCTTAAGATTCACCCCGTGTGCTTCAGTGTAGTCCTGCCCCTTCTTTCAGCGTGGTCCGCTTGTCCCTTGGCTTAGGACCAGTGTGATCACTTTCTCCGAGGCTGACTTCTCTCTCTCTCTCTCGTGTGTGTGCGTGTGCGTGCGTGCCAGGAATAAAACTTTTAAATGTGGATAAAGTTACTTTGCGTACTTGAAGAATGTGTGATCTTCTGTTCAAGCTTTCTGAGAAAGAAAAGCCGAGAGTATTGGATGGGAGTGGGGGGCAGGCAGCAATACGCTAGAGTACCTACACTGCGTGAAATTCCCACCATCCTCTTGGGCAAAGTCTGTATGCATATCCTGAGGTCTAGTAACTTGGCTTCTTTCCTTTTTCTGTGCTTGAATGAAAGCTGAATCTGGGGACCCTTCCGCCAGCCACAGAATTCCGCAATTTCACATTTACCTGGCGCAGCTAGAGATGTCCTGATTTTGAGAACCCCGGCGTGAACTTTCCTGGAAAATTGCTGATTTGAAGATGGGTACTGTTAGCAGTTCAAATAAGAGGAGTGGCATTCAGAGCTTCCATTCCATTCTCATTTACTGAGAAATCCCTGCATGTTTCCCCCCTGTCAGAACCTCATAGAATCATAAAATTGGAACGTGCCCCAGATAGTCCTGCAATTCACTCTTCCTATTCTAATAAAGGGTGGGTTCTTTTCATTGCTCCTAAGTTGAAAAGGTTTTTCAGATATAATAATAATAATAATAATAATAATAATAATAATAATAATAATAATAATAATGTATTCGGCACCAATTCTTAAAAGTTAGCAGCTGGGGTAGTCATGTCGTTGGCAAATGGAGCTGGTCTCTCAGCAGAGCCGATGGAGTGCCTCTGCTTTTTCTCCTTCTGCAGCAGCCTGATGGAACAGTTGCTTGCCAAGTTGCTGAAGGAGGCAGGAGCCTGATGGATAACGTAGTGCTTTTGCTCTGGAAGCGGCCACCTCCCTGCTGCAGTGGCCCCTCTAATTCCATCACGTTCATTGGACTGCTACGCTTGTTCTGCCAAGCAGGATGGCTGTACAGTACAAGCATATTTCTGTTGTTGCCATCCCGTCTCAACTCTGGCTCCGGTGAGCAATAATGTAATTTAGTTTCTTGGCGCTCTGTACAAATGCAGTCACCAATGGTGCAGTGCACAAAGTCCTGGAGACGTAAGAATCTATTCCAGAAGCATGTGCAAAGATTAACTCCTATCCCCTTAGTAAAGCGCATGTAGCAGATTTTTTAAAAACTAGCTTTAACTTGCCACCTGCTGGAGTGTCCACTAAATTAAATGTGCAAGGCTTGCAGACCTTTATTTTGCAAGGTTTCGTGCCTACGCTGCCTTCAAGCAATTCATCATGGATGCCTTCTAGTAACATCCTTGTCTTTATTGCATTCATAACTCTTTCCCATTTTTTCCTTTATATATATATATAAAACCTGCCTCGGAGAGGAAATTGTGCGCCGTTGTTAAATATTTCTTATGGGGGGTGAGTGCTAAGAAATCAGGAGATTAAAATACAAAGCCATAAAGAGGCAGCTTGTCAGCCCCTTTGCCAGGCACAATAATTGCTATTTATGTGTAATGGCTATCGGCGGTAAAAGAGACAACTCAACGTTTGCACTGAAGATTAATGGGTTTTGCAAGCAGCCGTCTAGAAGAATCCTGGCCTTGCATGTTGTCCCCTGAATTTGTAGTGCTACAGGTTTTTGTTTTTTTGTTTTAAAAAAAATCCCTTTGAGGTTAGAGACGAACACTTGTTTTTCCTGATGAACAGTCTTGGCATATTCCCTTTGAAATAGAGCAGTTGCCTAGTCCACACATGTTTGCAGGACTTAAAAGACTTCATGATAAAAAGTTAGTGGCTTCTTTTTTAAAACATTTTTCATCAAATCCTTCTTCCAAGAAGCTTAAAAGTTATACAAATGGCATATCCTGGTCTTTCAACCTCTTTTATACTTGGCATTGCTTTGAAGTAGGTGATGTGGAGCAAAAATGATGGGTCAGACTTTATGGCTGTGTGTGGATTTGAATTACGGGTCTTCCCACCTGTCATTGCGTGGTTTATCCATTACACACACTGCCTGGGTATTCAGTACTTGAAGAAGGACATCTCACATGACCGAAAAAAGGATTGTAGCTACTCGCCCTCAGCTTGCTGTTCCGAAGTTCTTTAAACGTCCCTCATTCTCAAAACTCTTCCTTTGTCTCCCTCCCCCTCTGCCAGACCCATAAGATTCCGATGGTTTTGCTCAAAATTGCCAGTTCTTGAACTAAAATTGCAGCATTCCATTAAGCGGGGAGGTCTGTCCCGCACCCGTTAACTTTGCATATAATTACATCATTCCTGCCAAAATCACGTGAAACTAGAGTTTCTCCCTGTCTTTTGGGGCTGCGTCTTTCAGGTAAGTTTAATAGAAATATTTTCGGGGTTTAGCTGAACAGGGCATTTCAATACTTTGCTTTATATTAGATGTGATTTCCTGTCAGTGCTTTTCAGCTTCAGGGCAATTCCACCAGCAGTGAGTGAAATCTGATCTTAACTACCCCCGCTTTCCAATAGCTGTCATTACTGGTGTTATAAATTCTAGCTATTCTGAGTTGGGTTAGGATACCAGGTCGTTTATAAGTTCAATGAACATACTGCATACTTGTTAATGTTAGCCCCAATGTATATGCTGGTATCTGGTATTCCAGTCATTACTTCCCATTTTGTAGCATTATTACATTTATCATCATTTATATCCCACTTTTCCTCCAAGAAACTCGAGGTGGCATACATGGTTCTTCACCCCTCCCTATTTTATTCCCACAACAACCCTGTGTGGCAGTTTAAGCTGAGAGGCAGGGACTTTTTGCGCCCTGGCCTCCCATATAATTTTCAAAAGTTGTTTTTTTTTTTAACTTCCCACTGCCTTGATCCTTTGCTGAGTTCTCAACCAGCTGTTTAAGAAATATCTTAATTTGAAAATATTCAGGTCACAAATTCTGTGCCCCTCAGCGTATTGGGCTTCAGTTGGTTATTTGAAATTCAAGCAGCGGTTGTCTCAGTTCCTGCTTTCGGCCCGTTGGAAACTTGGCCTAGAATACCATCTTTATTAAACTGCAGAAGAAATAAAACACAGGCACTTGGTGGGCATAATTTGGCTTTAAATTTGTCTCTTCCAGGGAGAAAAACCCCGCTGGTAGATCCCTTCTTTAAGTTTCTCATTAGTCCTCATCCATTGGAATTGGAATTCTTACGAAGCATTTTTTGAGTTATTTTATATAATCTTGTCCTGGTTCATAGCACCAGTCGTGAACCGATTAGCTTTTTTTACTTTATTTGAATAGGATATTGGATGACATCTACTGTCCATTTTGCTCTCTGTCTGTAGTGACCTTAAAGGAGCTTTTCCAGTTTGATTATTTGTATAATCAGTATACAGTACAGCAATGCTCTCTAGTGGTTAGAGCAGTGGTCCCTGAAATGTGTGGTACCACCCTCTATATCGGGGTGGGATTATGCAGGTGGTGCAAATAGCTACCTGACTATTACAAACGGCTACCACTGGATCAAGTTCATTAATTTTGTTGAACGAATTAAACTAGTTTTAATTGGCTTTTGAACAAATGTGCAATTAATTATGTTAGTGGGTTGTGCAAATCCACTGTTCTGAATAATGCTTTTTTCTATAGTAGTGAGCTTCGGGGAAGAGTTTATGGAACCAAGGGAGTGGCACCCTGAAAAAGTTTGGGAACCATTGTTTAGACTAGTATGTTGCACCGGAGTAAGATTCAAATCCTTCCTCAAGCATGTAAAGGACCCTGGACAGTTAAGTCCAGTCAAACTTTATTGGTGTGGCACCCACTGGGTGGTGTTGGGCTAACGCAATACCTCATAACCTACCGTATTTTTTGCTCTATAAGACTCTCTTTTTCCCCTCCTAAAAAGTAAGGGGAAATGTGTGTGCATCTTATGGAGCGAATGCAGGCTGCGCAGCTATCCCAGAAGCCAGAACAGCAAGAGGGATTGCTGTTTTCACTGCGCAGCAATCCCTCTTGCTGTTCTGGCTTCTGAGATTCAGAATATTTTTTTCTTGTTTTTTCTTGTTTTCCTCCTCCAAATACTAGGTGTGTCTTATGGAGTGAAAAATACGGTACCTCACAGGATTGTTGGGAGGAAAAAACAGGGATGGAGAGAACCATGTATGCCGCCTTGAGCTCCTTGGAAAAAAGGCGGGCTTTAAATGCGTTAATTAGATAATATAATCATCTAATTATTAGGTAATAATACTTGCGTGCAAACATACACTTTGCTGAAGAGGTCTTGGGCCTAAGCAATTCAGGCACATAACTTCTGTCCTAAGAATATTGCAATATTTAGCTGAAATTGTGGAAACAGAGAACCGAAACAGAAGTTAAAATTCATTTGGCTGCCTCCCTAATGTTAGCACTTTCACTGAGGGGTCGCTGACCCGCCTGGAAACGAAGCCTCAAACTTCTGCCGGCACTCACAGCGTTGAATGTGTGGTTGGTACCATCATGAGCACAAATAATCGTGAATGCATGATAGGTCATCTGGAAGGGGTTGTGCATCATCCTTGGAATAGGCTGCGGAACTGGGTCTTTCTGCCAGCCTTTTCCCCTGATGGGTCTGAATACCTTGTTTATAGGCACTGCTTCGCTTTACCCCTTTCCCGTCAATCAGAGCAGTTTGGACAGCCTCACACAGGGGAAATCACGGCTGAGTTTTGATCAGTCGGCTCAAGACTTTCAGAATTCCCCAAGCAGTGTGTCTGCAGTTACTCCAAAGGGGTTGGCTTCCATCGTTTGCAAGAGCAAACTGTTGCCATTAACATCCTGACCTCCCAAATTTGGTGAAATGGAAGCTGGTGCCCTTTCAGTCTTGCTTGATGGGGGTGCGTGGGATTTCTTATCAAAGCACAGACCCCAGAAATGGGTAGGGTATAATTTTATTTTAGAGCGCAATGCTAACACAGTACTGCTGGTAACATCTTACCAACAATTTCATACTAAATTTTACAGCTGCTGCAAGAAACCAGGAGATTACCCCAAAAGTACCATTTTACCTTCTATAGGAATGAGCATTCCTACAGCTGGGGTTTGTAACAAATTGATGGTTTTTGCTTTTTTTAAAAAATGGAAGATCATG